AGTGCGGAGGAGTTGGTTTCCCAACTCAAGGGAGACTGGAATGGCATTAGGGCCTGTCGCTACCGCACACATCATCCCTTTGCCATGGCTACGCGGCCTAGAACGCTCGTCTCCAACCACGCCTAGGCCCGCACGTTTAATCGTTCCGTCTTCTCAGTGCTAGGACGGGTGGGCGCTCTACTGCTCTTGTCCACCGGTTCGGGCCGGCCTCGTTCATACGTAGGACAGTCCCGTGCATAGTGTCCCACACCGCCACACTTCTTGCATATTTCCCCCGGACGCCTGGTACGTTCCGCTTTGCTAGGGCAGACACGTGCCGGATGTCCGCGACCCTGACACTCAAAGCAGTCAGCGTGGGTTCCCCCAGAGAGATTTTCAATTTCCTGGCGTCCACTAAGTCCCTTATCTTGGGCGGCCACCCTAATGGCTCGGTTGATCCTTTCTCGGAGTTCCAGCACACTCTGGTTGGGCTCGTAGAGCCATGTTGCGGCGGTCGCCGCTTGTTCCCACGACTGATATTTCACTTGTCCGTTATTCGTTATTAGAAGATGGAGGTCTGTCGGTAGCCCGGCGCAATAGTAGTCCGCGATTTCGTCGGGGGATAGACCCAACCCCCGTTCTGCCACCGCCGCAAACCGGTCGGTGTACTCCTTCGTGTAGTGCACTGCGCCCGCAGCTGCGTGTACGTGCTTCCAGTCCCTTGGGCCGGGTCTATAAACTGCACCCTACGCTAATCCATTCCCTAGAAACTACAGCTATTGTGATTAAGGATACAAAATCATGAGTTTATCAATCTGTCTGTCTGTTTCGCACCCCCCTGGGAGCTCGCCTCCTAGTCCCTAAGGGAGGGAGGCTTGCTCTGGCGCCGGCGCTGTCTCCAGCCCCAGTCTCCACGCAATTCCACGAATTCTCGTGTGCATATAAAATAATAATCACTTTCTCTTACTTTTTGTCTGGTAAGAGGGCCCTGTCTCCCTCCAGTCTTGCGACCCCTCGTAGGTCGCTGGCTAGCTATCCTCTCTAGAGCACTAACCAGCCCCATTGTAGTGTCTGTGCACTACACTTCGGGTCACCATTCCACCGTACCTTTTTCAACTCCGTTAACAATTGACTCTGCGACATGGTTATGTCAAACCGCTCCAAAAGCCTGCGCCGTACTGTTGCCCAGTCGCTTAGGTCGATAGTTTCCTGTAGATACATCCAACAAGTTAGAGCCGGGCCCACAAGGTGGTCTATGAGTGCATCTCCCCACTCGCGCGGTTCCAATCCCATTTGGGCGTACCGGCGCTCGATGCGCAGCAGAAAGGCCTTCATAGTGCTGCCGTCTTCAGGTAGTATAAGAGTCGTTGCGCCGGATGCTCCGGCTCCCCCTATTACAGTTCTAATCACACTCATTGCAGACTGGAATTGGTCCCAGGTGACGATGGGACTGTCCCCTGGCATAACATTGGTCATACGTATCACCTGTGGGGGCGCCTCCTTATGCTCATGCGGCCGCTCTGCCACGGTGCGCTTCGGAGTCGCGTGGCGATGCTAGGCTGGCGTCCCGCTCAGCATTTTGTTGACTGACATCGTAGAAGTCTCCTGCGCTGTGGGGCCGATAACGCGTCCGTTGCGGACATGCATCCCTTACCGAGCAAAGATTTCTAGGTGCGAGGCATTAAAACAAAGTAATTATACTCCCAAGTCCGGAAAGAATAACGATTTCAATCCCGGAACAGCCCCCAAATGTAGTGCGCGGCGCCTACTGCTGCGACTACGCTGTTTCCTGCCCCTCTACAGGTCTACATGCTACACCTAGAATAGCCTCATTTCTCGGTCTCTATAGCTTTATTCCGTCGAAATACGACAATTCAAAAAGTGTCTCTAATCTCTCTCGTCGATTCGCTCCCTTCTCGGAGCTTACCTCCTAGACCCTAGGGGGGGGAGTCCCGCATTGGTGCCGGCGCTATCGCCAGCCCCAGTCTCCACACGATTTCCGCACATTTCACGTTTTCACTAGAACTGACTAACGGTTTTTCTTATTTTTGCATGTATTGGGAGGGTCCTGTCCCCCTCCAGTGCCGCGGCCCCTTGCAGGTCGCTAGCTAGCTATCATCTCTAGGACTCTAGCCAGCCCCATTGTAGTGCCTCAGCAC